TTTTTATAAATTAGATGCAATGTTCTCTTCTTTGTGTGGTTTTGTTTGTTTGTTTGAGATGGAATTCGCTCTGTCACCTAGTCTGGAGTGCAGTGGTGCAATCCCAGCTCACTGCAACCTCCGAATCCCAGGTTCAAGTGATTCTCCTGCCTCAGCATTTTGAGTAGCTGGGATTACAGGTGTGTGCCACTATGCCTAGTTAGTTTTTTTTTTTTTTTTTTTTGTATTTTTAGTAGAAACAGGGTTTCACCATGTTGGCTAGGCTGGTCTCAAACTCCTGACCTCAGGTGATCCGCCCGCCTCAGCCTCCCAAAGTGCTGGGATTACAGGAGTGAGCCACAGCACCTGGTCTGTCTTCTTTGAAAATAGGGCTAATCATTATGTTTATAATTATTTTACCTAAAATTATTTTTGAATTGACTTTATTTTTTTTTGGCATGCCACAGAAGCAACCAAATTTTCTTATCAGTTGCATTTTTATTGGAATAAATTCTTATCAGAACTTTTGCTTTTGAAAATTATGAGTAATAAATTAACCACAGTATTTTAAGCCTTTTGTCATCTATAGGTAGTTTTTTGTTTTACTCTGATGCTTCCTTTAAAATATTTCCTCTTCAACAAAGGACTGTCTCAGAGACCCATGGAAAAGGACTATGCTGGGTATTTTGGGGTAGGTGCTGCTAATGGCATCACTTAAACAATTTTGAGACCATACCAGCAAACTGAGTAAGGATTTTCAGAACTCTAGGCAAGAAACAAATGGATTCATGAAAATGCTAACCCAAGATCCAGTGAAACAAGAATTAATTATATAGGGCTAAATGAACAGATGAGGAATGATTGTAGTTTATTGTGGGGGGGGGTGGAATATTACTGATTTTTTTTTTTTTACAAAATTATTTTTATTCTTCCTCAGCATCTCCAGCTGTGAAATTATTGATGTTTTAATATGCTATTTTCAGGATAGATACAAAAGCCCTTTCTTTTTTATTTTATCTATAACGCATAACAATTTAGTAGACTCTGTTTTTGTAAATGGAAATGAAACAATTGTAAATTTGTCATATCCTCCCTGCCTGCCTAACCCCTCCAGAATCTGGAAACACTTAATGAATATTCTTCTTTTCATACCAATATAGTCATTTCCATAGATGCAATAAGAACATATCTGGGACTTAATTTCACTAGGACTTCATTGAAAACATTGGTTATATAATCAAGAGCTTGCCTGGAATGTCATATTTGAAAACTATCTTTATTTGCTCACATATCACAAAGTACTTTTAAGTAACTAAGGTTGTTTTATGGAGTCAAGGCTTACAAAACCATTGGACACGGTGGTGTACACCTGTTGTCCCAGCTACTTGGGAGACTGAGGCAGGAGAATTGCTTCATCCCAAGAGTTCAAGACCAACCTAGGTAACATAGTGAGACCCTATCTTTAAAAGAAAAAAAAGAAAAAGGCTTGCACAACCCTCTTGAAAAAAACGGCCTGGGACGTGGTTTCCAGGGTTTCTAGCCTTACTCTTTTTTCCCTGAGTTTTTGGGTTTCATGAAGGCATCACAATATATCTTTTTTAAAACAACCCATAATTGGAAACTTAACTAATCAAAATATGCCACCTCCCCTCACTCATACAAATGGATGGAAGGGAACAGAGCTCATGCAGCTGCCAGGCTCTATGCAGGGCACTTGGCACATATTCTATAGGATCTTTTAAATTTTATTTTATTCTTTGTCCTTTTTCTTTTTTAGAACTCTTTTGAAAGTTTATGTCAGACGGGTAATGAGTCAACATCATAACAAGGTTTAAGGGAGGTACATCTCACACATGGGCATAAAAGCCCAATTATCATGCTTACGAACTACAAAAAGATCACAGGATACTTTTGTAAGTGCCTACCCATCAGATCTCCCCTCCTTCTGTGGTAAAGAAGTCCAGTGTTGAACTAGCAGCATTCACATTTCCCCACAAGTGTCACAGAAGGAGACTCCCTCCCAAGTTTCCCCAGCAGTAAAGCCTGATTGGTCTAAGATCTGCAGGGTGGTTCTAGTCCTTTTGCCAGTGATTAATTAGATAAAACGGTATAATATGGTTGGGAGGTGGGAGCAGAAGAAGAGATTCCAAAAGGAAAGTGTTCATGCTCTTAAAAAGAGCTATGTGATGCCTCTGATGAAGCCTGTGTTAGTAGAGACATCTGAGAGTGTAGATGAATACCAATGACTCTCATGGAAAAAGAGAGAGAGAGACATGAGAAAAAGCCACTCTTTTTCTTGCAGCTACATGTGATGTCTGGAATTACAGCAGCCATTTTGTGATCATAGGAGCAGATGGCTTGGCAAAGACAAAATTTGTCACACCAAACATGGCAGAGAAGAAAGAAGATTCTGGATTCTAGACAACATTTTTGAGCCACTGAAATAACCAAGACTGGAATTAGTCTTTCTTAGAAATTTTTAATATGTGCGATAGTGAATTTTCCCATTGAACTAAATTTTGAATGGAGTTTTCTGTTTCTTATAACCAAAAGCATCCTACCTGCTACAATATTTTATTTCATTTCATCTTTACAACAGTCCTATATCTGTAGACATTCTCATTTTATAGATAAAAATCCAAAATTCAGAAAGTTTCAGTAACATGGCTAGGCACAGTGGCTCATACCTGTAATTTTAGCATTCTGGGAAGCCAAAGTGGGAGGACCACTTAAGTTCAGGAGTTTGAGACCAGCCTGGGAAACATACCGACACCCTGTCTCTACAAAAAAAAAAAAATTAGCTGGGCATGATGGCACATGCCTATAATCTCAGCTACTCAAGAGGCTGTGGTGGGAGGATTGCTAGAGTCCAGGAGGTCAAGGCTGCAGTGAGCCATGATCCTGCCACTGCACTCCAGCCTATGCAACAGAGCAAAACCCTATCTCAAAATAATAAATAACAATAATAATAATAATGGATAGAAGAACCACACAGAAGATAAGTAAGGAGATAGAGGACTTAAACAACATAGTAAACCAACTAGACCTAACAAACATATGCAGAACACTTTACACAAGAGCATATACATTCTTCAGAAGTGCACAAGACATTTTCCAGAATAGACTATACATTAGGCCACAAACTAAGTGTCAATACATTTTAAAAGATAGATATTATATAAAGCGTCTTCTCTAACCACAATAGGATGAAGTTAGAAATCAATAACAGAAGTAAAACTGGAAAATTCCCAAGTTTGTGGAAATTAAACAATGCATCAATAATCAATAGACTGGTGCAATAGCTCAAGCCTGTAATTCCAGCACTTTGAGAGCCCAAGGTAAGTGAATCAATTGATCCCAGGAATTCAAGACCATCCTGGGCAACATAGTGAGACCCCACCTCTATTTTTGAAAAATACAAAAAAAATAAAAATAAATACAGTAAATAAATAAATAACCAAATAGAACAAAGAAAAAATTGCAACAAAAATTTAAGACTACAGAAAAGCTAAAACAAAAACACAACCAACCAAAACTTATGGGACATAGCAAAACTAGTGGTAAAAGGAAAAATTATAGTTCTAAATGTTTAAATTTAGAAACAAGAAAGATCTCACATCAGCAACCTAACTTTACAAATTAAAAAACTAGAAAAAAAAGAACAAACTAAACCTAATGCTAGCAGAAGGAAGAGAATAACAAAGATTAGAACAGAAATTAATGAAACAGAAAATAGTAAAACAAAAGGGAAAATTAATAAAACCAAAAGTTGACTCTGAAAACATTGACAAAATTTACAAACCTTTAGCTAGATGGACTAAGGAAAAAGAGAAAACCCTCAAATTACTAAAATCAAAAATGAAAACAGAGATATTACTACCAGCTCTACAGAAATAAAAAGAATTCTAAGAGAGTACTATGAACGATTGTATGTCAACAAATAGGATAACCTAGATAAAATGTAAAGATTATAAGAAACACAAAACCTACCAAGACTAAATCATGTAGAGACAGAAAATAGGAATAAACTGATAACTAGTAAGGAGACTGAATCAGTAATCAAACATCTTCCAACAATGAAAGGTTCTGGACCTGTTGGCTTCACTAATAAATTCTATCAAACATTTAAACAATTAATAGCAATCCTTCTCAAACTTTTCTTTAAAAATTAAAGAGGAGGAAACACTTTCTAAATCATTCTAGAGGCCAGCATTACCCTAATATCAAATCCAAAAACACTAGAAGAAAAGAAAACTACAGATCAATATCCCTAATGAACATGTGTGTAAAAATCCTCAGCAAAATATCAGCAAACTGAATTTAGCAGCATAGAAAAAGGATTATACACTATGAGCAAGTAGGATTTATTTCTGGAATGCAAGGACAGTTCAACACATGAAAATCAACTGGCCAACACAGTGGCTCATACCTGTAATCCCAAAACTTTGGGATACCAAGGCAGGAGAATCACTTGAGCTCTGGCGTTCAGCCTGGACAACATAACAAGACTCCATCTCTATAGAAGTTAAAAAATTAGGTGGGCATGACCAGGCCCAGTAGCTCACACCTATAACCCCAGCACTTTGGCAGGCTGAGGCAGGAGAATCACTTGAAGTCAGTAGTTTGAAATTATCCTGGCCAACATATTGAAATCCCATCTCTACTAAAAATAAAAAATTAGCTCGGTGTGGCTGGGTGTGGCTGGGTGTGGTGGCTCATGCCTGTAATCTCAGCACTTTAGGAGGCTGAGGTGGGTGGATCACTTGAGGTCAGGAGTTCAAGACCAGCCTGGCCAACATGGTGAAACCCCGTCTCTATTAAAAATACAAAAAATTAGCCAAGTGTGGTGGCAGGCACCCATAAACCCAGACTAGGGAGGCCGAGGCACAAAAACTGCTTAAACCTGAGAGGCAGAGGTTGCAGTGAGCCACGATCGTGCCACTGAACTTCAGCCTGGGCGAGAGAGTGAGACGCAAAAAAAAAAAAAAAAAAAAAAGAAATTTGGGCATAGTAGCACATACCTGTAGTCCCAGCTGGTCAGTAGGCTGAGGTGGAAAGATCACGTAAGCCTGGGATGTTGAAACTGTAGTGAGTTATGACTGTGTCACTTCACTCCAACCTGGGCAACAAAGTGAGACCCTGTCTCAAAGAAAAGAAAATCAATCAATTTAATACACTCCATTAAGAGAATAAAAGGGGGAAAGAACTACATGATCATTTCAATTGATGCAGAAAAGGCATTTGACAAAATTCACCACTTTTTCATGACAAAAGCGCTCAACAAACCAAAAACAGAAAAAAGCTACCTCAACATAATAAAAACCATATATGAAAAATCCAGAGCAAACATCATACTCAATGGTGAAAGTCAAAGAGCTTTTTTCCCTAAGATGAGGGGAAAAAAAATGCCCATTCTCAGCCAGGTGCAGTGGCTCAGGCTTGTATTCCCAGCACAATGGGAAGCTGAGGCAGGTGGATCACCTGAGGTCAGAAGTTCAAGACCAGCCTGGCAAACATGGTGAAATGCGTCTCTACTAAAAATACAAAAATTAGCTAGGCATGGTGAAATGCACCTATAATCCCCAGCTACTCAACACTTGAACCAAGGAGGCAGAGGTTGCAGTGAGCCAAGATGACACAACTGTACTCTAGCCTGGGTGACAGGGTGAGACTCCAACTCAAAAAAAAAAAAAGAAAAAAAGACCATTCTCTCCACTTTTGTTCAACCTAGTACTAGACGTTCTAACCAGAACTATTAGGCAAGAAGAAGAAATAAAAGACATCCAAGTCAGAAAGGAAGAGGTATAAATTATATCTGTTTGCAGATTATATGATCTTAAGTGTAAAAAACCTAAATATTCCATACCAAAAAACCTGTTAGAGCTCATAAATTAATTAGGTAAAATAGCAGGTTAAAAAGTCAACACATAGAAGCCAGTTGCATTTCTATACACTGACAATGAACAATCTGAAAAGAAAATTACAAAACAATTTCATTTACAATAGCATAGAAACAAAAACTGGGAATGAACTTAACCAAGAAGGTGAAAGACATGTACAATTAAAAACTACAAAACATTAATGAAAGAAAGTAAGACATAAGTAAGGCCAGGCACAGTGGCTCATGACTGTAATCCCTGTATTTTGGGAGGCTGAAGCATGCATACTACCTGAGGTCAGGAGATCAAGACCAGCCCAACCAACATGGTGAAACCCCATCTCTACTAAAAATACAAAAATGTGCTGGGCGTGGTGGCAGGCACCTGTAATCCCAGCTACTCAGGAGGCTGAGGCAGGAAAATCACTTGAATCTGTGAGGCGGAGGTTGTAGTGAGCCCAGATGGCTCCACTGTACATCAGCCTGGGTGACAAAGTGAGACTATCTCAAAAAAAAAAAAAAAAGTCATAAGTAAATGAAAGCATATCTCATATTCATAGACTCGAAGACTTATATTGTTAAGATGTCAATACTACCTAAAGTGATCTACAAATTCAGTGCAATCCCTATGAAAATCCTTGTGAGGCTTTTGTAGAAATAGAAAATTCCATTCTAAAATTCATATGGAACCTGAAGGAACTCTGAATAGCCAAAATAATTTTGAGGAAAAAAGAAAAGCTGGAGGACTCATACTTCCTGATTTCAAAACATACTACAAAGCTATAGTAACCAAAATAGCATAGTACTGGCATAAAGACAGACATATAGACCAGAGGAATAAAACGAAGAGCCCAGAAATAAACCCTCTCATATACAGCCAAATTATTTTTTACATAGGTGCCATTATGTAATTATTTTTTACATAGGTGCCAATATGTAATCATTTTTTACATAGGTGCCAATATGTAATTATTTTTTACATAGGTGCATCAAAAAACAATATTAACAGAGCAAAAAGGCAACCCACAGAATGAAAGAAAATATTTGCAAATCATATATCTGATAAGGGATTAATATCTAAAATATATACAGAACTTTAAAGCTTAATAACAACAACAAACAACCTGATTTTTAAAATGGGCAAAAAGGCTGGGCACAGTAGCTCATGCCTGTAATCCCACCACTTTGGGAGGGATCACTTGAGGCCGGTGAATCACTTGAGCCCAGGAAATCAAGACCAGCCTGGGCAATATGGCAAAACCCTGTCTCTACAAAAAATAGAAAAATGAGCCAGGCGTGTTGGTGCATGCCTATAGTTCCAGATACCTGGGAGGCTGAGGTAGGAGGACTGCTTGAACCCAGGAGGTGAAGGCTACAATGAGCAGAGATCAAACCACTGCACTCCATCCTGAAGAACAGAGTGAGAACCTGTCTCAACAAAGAGAAAATTGTTTGAATAGACATTTCTCCAAAGGACATATACAAATGGCCAATAAGCACATGAAAAGATGCTCAACAACACTAATCATCAGGGAAATGAAAATCAAAACTACAAGACACCTCTACCTCACACCCATTACAAAGACAACTATCAAAAAAATTGAAAATAACAGGTGTTGGTGATGATGTGGAGAAACTGGAAGCCTTGTACACTGGTGGTAGGAATGTATTAGGTTGGTGCAAAAGTAATTGCGGTTTTGCCACTGAATGTAATGGCAAAAACTCCAATTACTGATAATAAAATGGCGCAGCCACTATATGAAACAGTATGGTGATACCCCTAAAAAAAGAATCACTATGTGATCCAGCAATTCCACTTCTGGGTGTATGCCCAAAAGAATCGAATGCAGGATCTCAAAGAGATATTTATGTGACCATGTCCACAGCAGCAATATTCACAAAACATGGCAGTAACCTAAGTGTCTACCAACAGATGAACAGATAAACAAAATATGTTACAGCCATAAAATGGAATGTTATTCAGCCTTAAAAAAGAATGAAATTCTGACATGTACTACACTATAGATAAACTTTGAGACATTATGCTAAGTGAAGTAATCCAGTTACAAAATGACAAAGACTGTATAATTCCACTTATATGAGATACTTAGAGCAATCGAAATCATAGAGACAAAGTGAAATGATGACTGCCAGGGACTGGAGAGAGGGAGGAATGGTGAGCTTTTTTTTTTTTAATTCAGTCAATGCATCACTCTGTCACCCAGATTGGACAGCAATGGCTTGATCATGCTCCATCATTGCAGCCTCAACTGCCTGGCTCAAGCAATCCTCTCACCTCGGCCTCCCAAAGTGCTGGAATTACAGGCATGAGCCACCATGCCCAGCCTATTTTTTAATGAGTATAGAGTTTCAGTTTTACAAGATGAAAAGAGTTATGAAAATGGATGTTGGCGATGGATATACAATATTGTGAATGGATTTAATATCACTGAACTGTACAATTTAAAATAATTGTGATGGTAAATTTTGTGTTATGTGTATTTCAGTTGAAAGAAAGAAAACTTTCTTTTTTATGTGTGAGACAGGGTCTCACTCTGCCGCCCAGGATGGAGCACAATGGCACGATCTTGGCTCACTGCAACCTCCACCTCCTGGCCTCAAGAGAAAAGGAAAATTGCTTAGGGGACTATAGAGCTTAGTGGTTGAGAAAACTTTGGTGTCAGCAGACATGGGTTTAAATCCTGCTTCTTTGCGATCTCAGGGCCCTTCTAAGGCTCCTTTTCTCTAGGCAGAATGAAGATAGCAATTACTATTAACATAAGGTTGTGATGAAGACTCAATGAAACTATGTATGTAAAGTACTTCTGCATGCCCAGAAAAAGACTGATGGCTATGACGATTATTAATATTATCGTGCCTTTCATTGTTACCCTATTCAGTAGGAAATCAGCATTTTGGCTTTTTTGTTTGGTTAGTTTTTAGTTTTTTTGTATTTTTTTTTAAGATGGAGTCTTGCTGTCGCCCAGGCTGAAATGCATGTCAGCTCACTGTAACCTCCGCCTCCTGGGTTCAAGCAATTCTCCCACCTCAGCCTCCTGAATAGCTGGGATTACAGGCACCCACCATCATGCCTGCCTAATTTTTGTATTTTTGTAGACAGGATTTCACCATGTTGGCCAGGTTGGTCTTGAACTACTGACCTCAGGTGATCTGCCCACCTCGGCCTCCCAAAGTGCTGGGATTACAGGTATAGCCACCGTGCCCAGCCAGCAACCAACATTTTGAATGTAAAGAGAGCATCTTGTTCCCAAAACCACAGAGGGGTGTCATCAATTTCATTTCAGGCCTTTTAGAGCCTCCCCTGTCCATGCCAAAACTTGGAGCTCCTGCTCTTCCTGTCCAGCCACCGTCAAAAGCAGCCCAACTCCCTGGGAGCACCTTTGTCTCTGCTCACATTACCTCCTTCCCACCACTCCCAGGGCCCTGAGAGCTTTGATGTTCTCCTGGCTGCCTGGCAGGGGCAGGAAGATAAAATCCCACTTGTTCTCTCTTTCCACAATACAACCTTTCCGCGATTTAGAAGGAGACAGAGATAAAAGAACAGGGCTTTTTTCTTTTTCTTTTCTTTTTTTTTTTTTTAACAACAAATGGTGGTTTCTCTTTACCAGCTGCTACTTCAGAGCCACGCCAGCATCAAAGAGCATGAAATCAGCAGAAACTCAAGGCAGGGGACTTCTGTCCCACCCTGAGTAGGGAGGGGGGAAATTTGGCTGTTCACAAAAGTAACACAAAGTGGGGTGGGGAGGAGGGAGCTGTGTGCAGAGGAACATCCCACTGAGGATGGCAAAACTTTGTTTTCTTAGCATATCCCCTATGCCATATTAAGCTTGGCAAACAGACAGGACTGGGACAAGGAGGGACATGGGAAAAAGAAAGCTCAACTTGCCTCATGAATGAATGGACTTGATATCTTCTAGTGCAGAGGGATTAAGGTGGTAAAAGAGGGTCGGCCTGTGTATGTGGGTATTCAGGTGGGACTCACAAGTCCAATGTCATTCTCTGCCCTAAATCCATGTGACTGTGTGCAAGTGCAGAAGGAAGAAAAGAGTCTGCTTGCATAACTAGGAGGCCTATCATTTTACAGAGTATATCCCACGTGCCAGGTCCTGTGCTAATACCTCACCTATAGCAACATGGGGTAGGTAGACTTACTTCTCCCATTTTACATATGTGAGAACTGAAGTTTTGAGAGTTGAAGTCGGTTTTCCAAAAGGAGAGGCAGGACCTCCACTCAGATCTG